TGTTGAATGTCCTTATAAGTGACCCGGATGATCAAGTGTACCATGGTAAAACTTGCTGATGATACCAAACTCAGTGGGGAAGTGGACATTTAGGAAGGGAGAGCCACCCTGCAGGATGACATGGTACAGCTGGAAGAGTGGGCTAACAAGTACCTTACAGAGTTCAACAAGGATAAGCATAAGGTCTTGTGCTTGGGAAAACATAATCCAGGAGTGCAGCACAGGCTGGGATCTACTCAGCTCGGGAGCAGAACTGTGGAAAGGGACCATGGGGTCCCAGTGGACAACAGGCTCAATATGAGTGAGCAGCGACAGCAAACAGCCAAGAGAATGCTGGGTTGCAGCAACAAGGGCATCACCAACAGAGAGAAAGATGTCATTGTCCCAGTCTACTTAGCACCTGGAATACTATGTTCATTTTTGGTGCTCACTAAACAAAATCGATGTGGACAGGCTGGAGAGAGCTCAGGCCCCAGGGAAGGGCCACAAAGATGATTAAAGGACTGGAAAGCCGCCTGAGGAAAATTTGAGAGAACTGGGTTTGTTTGGCTTTGAGAAAAGAAGGCTCAGGTGAGACTTTAACACCATGTTCCTTAACACCATTTAAAGGATAGCTGCAAAGATGGAGACTGCCTTTTTATAAGGAATCAAATTGAAAAGAAGAGGGGTGACGGGCACAAGTTACTCCTAAGGAGATCCCTGTTGGACACAACAGGAAAATTTTTCACAATGAGAACATCAGTGATTGGAATAATCCCCCCAGTGAGTGGTGGATTCTCTAACGTTCAACACTTCTAAGATTCAGCTGGACAGGTTGCTGGGCCACCTTGCCTAGGCTGTCCTTCTGCCAAGAAAGGTTGGAGCAGATGATCCTTGAGGTCCCTTCCAACCTGGTGTTCTATGGTTCTATGACATAACTTCCAACCAGGATCAAACTGAGATCTTATCTGTAGTAATTAGTCAACTCTATATAACTGCACATCTTTTACTATGGATGTCTGGTCTCTTTTTCAAAGAACATACTTGAAATTATTCGTCTTTATATAAAACATCTTAAAATAACATGTAGGAAAATGAAGAATTTCCATCAAGAAAATTTATGCATAGGAACAAAATTCTCCCCCTCTCCAAAATGGCAAAGTAAGTTAAATATTTCTGTTAAAACACTAAAAAAAAAGATCAACACAAAAGTTTAACGATGTAGTCTCAAGCTTGCACACACAGGAAGTATGCTACCCATAAAATCAGGGGAAATAGATTAGCAATCTAGAGACCAGATGGTTAGTATTTACTTGCTGCATAACACCACCAAATGTTCCTAAATTTCTTTTTCAAATTTGCCTTTCACATTACGTTATCAGCATAGGAACTGATCCTGCAAACATATACATACTGAGTTCAATAAATTTATTCATTTGAGTAGTCCCATTTACTGTAATACAAGAGACTGTTCACAGAACCAGGCTGCCAATTTAGGGTAAGGCTACAGAGTTATAAACTCTTCTTGCCTCTGCTGAATTGGGCAGATTAAATCTGGAAAAATAAGTTAGGAATTCTGGACATGTGTTTTTCTGCTGATTTTGTACTTTCCAAGAGAGATAGCCGTTTACGGAGAACATCATAAAAGACATTCCATGTCCATAAATTATGGCCTGGTTTTGTGGATAACTGTTAACCTTGGCAGGGCCTGAAATAAAATGAAATCTTAAAATGCTTCTCCCATTTGAATTCAAGGAATAAAAGTCAAAAACTATTTTAAGCATCAGATTGTTAATACCAACATGAAAAAAACACAGTTTAATTATAATGGGATCTTTATAAAAATTACTTAACTGCTCTTTGTGAGTTTCTGAAAAATATTTTTGCTTCCAAATATTTGTCCAGAGGCTTATTTTTCTCTGGTGGGGTCACTCTTCATTGTATCCTACTTATAACTTGTCTAAGCTATCTTTTGGAGTTATCTGTTCAAAATACACAGAATTTCACTAGTGTTAGCTCTTCATAATGGAACTTTTCCCCTTCATGTTTTTCCTTCCATTTTCACTTTTCCTTCCAAAATGTCTTGTTTCTTCTCATCCCTGTTATTACCAGCTTTTTTGTGGAGGCATTTACTTTGCCCCTTTGCCCAACATATTTTTTCCTATCTTTCCTTTTATCACAATCCTACTCTCAATTGCTCGCATGTTTCGCAATGTCTCGTTTTCTCATCTGCCTCCTCAGGTTCTTTTTTATTCTATTTTTACATCACTCACAAAGTCACCTTCCTCCAGGCAGTGCATTTCCTCCCCTATTTATTTTTTTCCATTTGCACCATCTGTGTGTGTTTATGTAATACAGGAGCTCCATTTAGTGAAAGTGATATCGTGCTGTGCTGACCCCGTTACTACCCTGAAAATAAAGAATTTATTTTCCTATGCAACAGTTTATTTGTTGATCACACTTTGAGAAGGCACGAGGGAGTTCCTTTAATGTCATAGTTACAGTGATAAACTTCAGTAACCCCTGATGTGCTCTGCTTGAATACTTATTATACTCTAAACTCCCTACACATATAAACACAGCAGCAGTGTCTCAGTTTTGCCAAACTAGGAACTGTACCAAGTGTTTTAATTCTAGGCAGGTCTTTCAAGTTATAATTAGTCATAATATTTCAGACATTTAAGTTATCTTTACCTGCAGCTAACAGTCCCAGATAGATGAGAAATCTCTGCCTAACTTATAAAACAATATAACAAAAAATACCCAAAACCTCCAAACACACAGGAAAATCATTCAAATTATTTGTTCAATTAAATGCTTAGTCTTTACTAAAACTAACAAAACAGCAGCAAAAAAAAGAAACTATGGGTAGGGAGGGAATTTTCAAACTGTTGCCAGAAGGAGTCTTAGAAAAATCCTGTCATATATGAAACTAGTTCTATTTGCCTAAAGCAGTGCTGTGCTCACTCTCTGGATAAAAACAGGGCTAGAAAACAGATAACCCAGAAGGATGGAAATAAAGCCTTTTGTTAAAGAGATGAGGTTTTAAACTCCTAAATTTAACTACTACAAAATTGATGTTTTATAGAGAAACATAATCTCACAACCTCCAGAAAACACTACTTCCTTTAATGCAGTTATGTAAGACAATGTTCAAAGTCTCATCTAGAATGCTATATATCATCTCAGTCATTCACCTTTAGAAAGGATGAACTCAAAGAGTAAAATCAGCAAAACAGTCATCAGAATAATCCCTACCTTACAAAAGAGTGTTATTCTTCTGAGGAAGGGCTGCATGGGACTCAACCTGTGGTTCTCAAGAGTAAACACTACAGAAAGCAGCAAAATCACAGTGTTCATACAAGAATAAATTAGTATACATTGACCAGAATAATCCTAGAAGCAATCTGCTAAATTGCAGCTCACCCAGCTGTAATGCAGCTCTTCATATAATTCTTGGAACAAAACATGTAATTCATTTTAAGGTACAGGTCCACAGATTTACAAAAGGATTATATGATATCGTTGCTTGTGCTAGCAGGGAAGGAATCAGTGGATTTCCTTCATTCCTGTATTTCTACAGCACCAGAATTATAATTCTCATAGCATGCAAGGAGAGAGGCTATCTACTCTAAGGTGCAAGGTTCAAATCTGCTGCCATTGTTATTGCTTATTAATCGGATTTAATTGCTATAAGATTCAAGTAGATAATATCAGTAAATATTTTTAATTCCCATGGAGTTAGGGAAGAGTTTCTTTATATCTTACTGTAGACAAATTGAAGTGTCAGGAACACTGTGACATGGATATATCAGCCTACCCAATAGATCGACATCTGGAATGTATCAAACTATGACAAAGCACACAACATATATGCCCTCTTTCTTATATGCCTACATGACAGTGCTCTGGCAAGTGTTCTAGTCACCCATATGACATTAGGAATAGTCCTGCTTTTAAGAGTAGTTCTGCAGAGAGAGATATAATTTCATGATTCTCTTTCAGATATGACATTCAGTTTCCATACAAAAAAAGTATTTGGAACTTCACTTTTGCTAAGTGTCAGCTATGACCCTACCTTTGCAGAATCACACCAGACAATTGCCCTTTTCCCAGTCACCCAATCACCAGAGTAAAGATGGAGTGAAGGAAAGTTACTTAAAAGCTTTTCCTTCAGCAGCCACCATTTTTCTGCAGGTTCAGTCTTCTACATTTGCATTATCCTGTTATCATGAATTAAACTGTAGGAACTGGACCACATTTACATCCTTAATCATTCTTAATCTTCATACCTGCAGGATCTTCTAAGAAATATTTCCACATATTATTAATTTGCTTGGTGAGTATAACCTTTATCCTGTTCACCAACCGTAATTACAAATTGGTTGGATCTGGGGTTTAAACTAGTTTAGCTAACATTCGCTTAGGCACCAGTGCATTAAATTATATAGCAAAATGCAAACACCTTCAAAAACAAGTTTCAAGAGTGGTTATTATTTAACAGTGAGAATGCAAAATGGCCTGAGTTCCTAGTACTAACATTAATTGTACACTTTCTAGACCTGGATCTGAACTTCAGTCTTGAAATACAGTGAAAGCAGCAGAAATACGATTTTCAAGAAGGACGCAAAAATAAATGGTATATAGAAAATTCAGCCAACGAATTTCTGAATTTATATTAAAGGTTATTTCAATGTCATATTTCATTAAAGAGCTGAATACTTGCTGGGACTTCAACAATTTAAATACAATCCTTTATGCCTCCGGCTCCCTCTTGTGGTGTATCAATGTTGATCTGCCTTGCAGACCACACCTTAGAACATCTAATTGCACACCAAAGCTGTGCCGCAGCAAATACCACTGCAGGGGTGTTGAATGTTCTTCTTTACTTCCGTCTCTACATTTTGGGCATCAGTATAGGAGATATTTACACTGCAAATAAGAATTAAAAGCCTTTGACTATGGTTACCTCTCCCAGTATTTTTCACTGTCCCAAAGCATATCTGCCCAGCAATAATAAATAAGTTTCTTCTTTTTCTTTATTTCATTTGATAGATTATATATATATATGTATATACACACAGTACAATAGTTTTCTTTTGTGATAGAGAATAAATGAGAATTTTCATTGCTGGTTGTTCTTTAAGTCAACAGATTCCAGTTAATAATGAAAAAAAAATTAAACATTTAATATCAAAAGCAATTTCAAGTATCTTCTATACATTTTAGTATTCAGTATATAGTTAGGTGGTTTGAGGGGTTTCTTTTTATATCAAAAGTGTATTTGAATAGACTATTTTTAACCTAATACTTTACTATTAATATCAGGCAGGGAGTTTAAAATTATGTATCTCATGGTCCCAACTAGCTCTTCACAAGAGCCATAGGTCACTTGTACAATGTATGTTTCAAAATAGGGTTTAATCATCAGCAAAGTCAAGATGCAATCACCATGTTTAGAAATGCACTATTTTGTTCTACAACAGGTCAAACTATAGTCCTTGATGTGAAGCAATGTACAGCACCACTGTCTGTATAACAGTACCTGACCTAGGCATAAATAGTACTGAAGTTCCCAGAGCTATTCATCCCTTAACCTTTCTGTATAAAAATAATTCAACTTATGCATATATTGCACTAATTTTATCATACTGGATAGCTCTCATTCTGCATTATCTGTTCTCTCTGCTTAACTAAGATTACACTAGGGTTTTAATTTCCATGGAAAAATCTGGGAATAGGGCAACAGACACACATACGGTGTGCAGTAAGGGGATATCTATTATATCAATAGTAATCTCAGAGGCATTCACAAAGCAAACTACACATTGGATTTGGAGATCATTTTTTCCAGTAGATTCATCATTCTCTCCTGTAACTGTAAGCTTTGAACTTGAATGATGTTTTGCTGATCCAGAATCCTGCGCACTTCTCTACAGGTTTCTTCCATAGCTCTACTCAACTTCTTCTGTTCTTCCAACATGGCCTCCATTAATTTTAGCTTCTTCTTTTGGAAACTGCAGCTTTGCATTTTTCTTTTCTTAACTGGTCTTTCTTCAGCTCTGAAATGTGAATATTTGTTAATTAAACTCATTTATATAAAAAGAAACCTATGTTAGAACCTAGAATTCTATACTACATTCTTGGCCTAGCTACAGCCTAGTCCTATTTTTAAACCCCTCTGTGCTCTCCAATAAATCCCCTCTCAAGTTTGTGCCAAAACATAAGTATTTAATGTGACTGGCTTAGTTACTTGCATAGTCTTACAGGCTGAAAAAACAAAAGAAAATAATAATAATTAAAAAAAAAAAAAAACAACACCAAGATAAAAAACACAATTTGTAAATGTCATTGGTTTTAATAAGAATTTTCCATGGAGAAAACAAGGCATCATTTCAGGGGGAGGTGGCTTTTTTCAATCTTGATTTCCCTTACACATTGAATTTATAAACTGTATTTGGAGAGGCCAAATTTTGCTTATTTGGCCATTAAAACTCTAATTTTAAAGCTGCAACAACCATCCCACACAGAGAAAGTGCTGCGCTCTTACGTGTGGTGTAAGTTAAAGTTTGTTTTTTAAAGCATCACATAAGTAAGGCTGGTCCCACTACAGAATACTATTCTCAGAACTAGCCCTTGCACTGAACACTTATTTCTATATTTCATCACAGACCATTATAAAGAACATAAAAATTTAGGAAGATAAGGCTTACAAGATTCCTTCTTTTCTTAGTGGATGAGAGAAAGTCTGTGGATGTTGTCTACCTGGACTCCAACTAAGCCTTTGACACCATTTCCCACAGCATTCTCCTGGAGAAACTGGCTGCTCATGGCTTGGAGAGGTGTACTGTTTGCTGGGTAAAAACCTGCCTAGACAGCTGGCCCCAAAAAGTGGTGTTGGATGGAGTTAGATCCAGTTGGTGGCCAGTCACAAGTGGTGTTCCCCAGGGGTCAGTACTGCTCAGTTCTGTTTGATGTATCTACCAGTGATCTAGATGAGGGGATTGAGTGTGCCTTCAATAAGTCTGTAGATGACACAAAGTTAGGCAGGAGTGTTGATCTGCTGGAGGGTAGGAAGGCTCTGCAGAGGGATCTGGACAGGCTGGGTTGATGGACTGGGGCCATTTTTGTGTGAGGTTCAACGAGGTTCAGGCCCAGGTCCTACATTTGGGCCACAACCCCATGCAATGCTACAGGCTTGGGGAAGAGCAGCTGGAAAAGGACCTGCAGGTGCTGATTAATGGAGCTGAACATGAGCCAGGCAGCCAAGAAGTGCAACAGCATCCTGGCCTATATCACCAATAGTGTGGCCAGCAGGGCCAGGGCAGTGATCATCCCTCTGTACTGGGCACCTTGAACACTGTGTTCAGTTCTGGGCCCCTCACTACAAGAAAGACATTGAGGTGCTGAAGCAGGTCCAGAGAAGAACAACGAAGCTCATGAAGGGTTTGGAGCACAAGTCTCATGAGGAGTGGCTGAGGGAACAGGGGTTATTTAGCCTCGAGAAAAGGAGGTTCAGGGGGAACCTTACAGATATCTAAAAATACCTGAAAGGAGGTGGTAGTGAGGTGGAGGTCAGTTTCTTTGCCCTATAACAAGTGAAAGTGGAAGTGTACTGCACATTTTCAAATCCTTAGTTACAGCCGGATAACTTCTTTCCTAACTTAAATAATAGTCCACATGTTCATTCACACCTTTTCTAACTCCAGACTGGATTCCCCAGCATCATAGTTATCTGATGATAGGCCTTTTATGTCCCTTCATACAAAAAGCAATCTCGGCCATGTTCTGCAAAATGCAGTATCCTTTCTAAGTAGGATGCAGTAATGAGATGGCACAGTTGTGAGTCGTATGCCAAGTCAACACCTTGCAGATTTCAAGACATCCTTGAACAAGGATAACTTGAACTCTTGAGGAATGTGTTTTATTAATGTGAAGAAAGGAAGGGAGGTCATTGAGCTGTGGCAGATTTGTATCATGGTTTCATTCACATTTTTATCCTACTTGACAGGCTTTGTACAACGACTGTGACATTCAGATCTCTCAGGAAGAGAAATAAACAATCCTAAGCACCTGAAAGACTTAATGCAAATATAACAAAAAGACACAAGCCCCTTGACATTCAAGAGTGCAATTACCCCAAAAGGGTGAGGTCTATGAAAAGAAACAAGTGGATTAAATTAAATGGTATTAAAATCTTAGAGGGAAAAAAATAGAATTGCTCGTGAGGGAAACTGTGAGTACTCTTTAGACATTCAAATATGCTGTCTCCTTATGCACAGGTAAGAAAAAACATCAATCTTGTTTAAATGTATTTTAAATGTACACTAACGTAGTGAACAAAGACCACTGGCTTTCGGATTATCCAAGACTTTAAATTTACTTGTACAATTCAAAGAGTTTTATCACCATTTATACCACTGCTATAATAATACTAAGGGAAAGGAGAAGTCATCATCTTTATGCTAAACAAAACTTTGGAAGTTATACAATATAAACTCACATTTGTAGATTCTATATATCATATTTGATTCTGAGCATCAAATAAATGTGCATAAAATAAATACATGCTGCTCTGCTCAAACTGTGAGTCAAACTTGCAGCTGATCACTGAGATTATCACAGCCAGACAATCCTGAAAGAGTGAGTCTTGGCTGACTGCAAATTCTGTTTGCCCCCGTTACCTCTAAGGGCTGGAATGATTTGAAATGTGATTCTCAGAGAGGTCAGGCAAGTGGAAAAGGTCTACAGTAGCCTAAGGACAACACTGAATCTGTTATTCCAAGGCTCCCATCACTGCACTCCCATTCACAAAGAACGCATGCTTTCTGATAGGCTGAGCAAGAAACATTTTGAAATGATGGTATTAGTTTAGCAAAAGTCACCTTTTGAATTTAAACCTGTCTTCCCAGAGGATTTAAATGTTGAAAACACAGTCGATCTCTATCCTCTTCCCTATACAGTACTAGAAAGCAGCTATGGTAAGACATCCTGCCTGAAACATGTAAGAACTGGCTCCTAGAGCCACAAGAGGGCTTGTGTCTTGTCAAAGTAAGCCCTGGTGAGAACGGTCCTTAATAAAGAATGAGAGAGAAAATCTGGGGCATGTCAGTGGTACTGAGCTGCACTGAGCATTGCGGGACTTTCTTGGCAATTGTGGCTGCCATGTGGGTTTTAATTTCAATGGAGACCAAAAACTAAAAGAAAATAAAAAAGGAAATGTAGTGATTTGAATGGAAAGATCTAAAATGAGCCTTATTTTTAAGGGAAGGTAAAATAAAATCTTTGAAATGTTTTCCTAGGGTCTGTGCAGGATTTTATCTGTTTTTCAGTTAAATTTGGTTCATAAAAAGCCTATAAGATGTATAACTATACATCCAATGCAATAACTGCCTTGGGCAGCTACAGAGAGAAGAGAGAGGCAAAATGTCTGGTGGTGATGGCAGCTACCTGGGGAATTGTGTCAGCAATATATGTATTCTGCCAGTAGCTGAGAAAGCACTCACTGACAAGTGCTTGCTCACATCAGGTTTCAGCACAGAAAAGTCCCCCCAAAAGCCAGGGCACAAGATTCTTCAAGGTCTGCTAAGTACTCTTTCTGTTTCTTTACAATTAACAAACACAACTCAGTAATTAGTCTTCATTGAAAAGAAATTTCAGATATCCCTGGCTTTGGTGGTGTTCCAAATCTCCTTTTCTCCCCAGCCATAGTGACTAGTAATGAGAGTTTTATGATCACTCACAAGTACATAGACTTGGAATTTACAATACTCTCTTTGCAGAATAGCTCTTGAAGGAGAGCCCTTGAGAAGAGGTCTACAAAAGAAGGATCTAAGGAATCTAATTTAAAAATAAAGAACCCTCAGCACTAGGGAACAATGTAAAATGTCCAGTGATGCCTGAAGGAGTTACTTGAATACTGAAGTGTTTCCTCAGACACTGAGCCATCTTTCTTGAGAAGTTCTAGGTCTCCTGAGCAGCACGCCAGAGACAACACTCCAGTGTCAATAAATTTGTACAACAGAAAGTCAAGAGGAAAACAGAAATAGGAACACGGGTTCAGCACTGAGTAACCCACCAGCATCAGTATCCTCGAATGGTTTCAGCTACGAGTATGTCTAGTTTGGTAATCTATAGGCATGAGCATAAGAAATGATCAGTATTTGCTGCAGCAAACACCCATCATTTCCTGTTGCTGATTCTCCATGTTGCATTCCATGATTCTATGATTCCTTTGCAGCTAACGCCTCTGAGACAATAGGGGTGCAACAGATCCTGACAGCATCCACAGCCTCTGTCAAGCCTGGTCTCTGAAGGCGGATTTTCAGATCTGGAGGAAAGAGGGGTCTAGGAAATCCGGGACCTCAGATACAATCCTCTGATACTCTTGGGCCTCTAGTGTCTATGGCAAAGGGCCTTCAAGAGAACTGGCACGGGCATTCCCCTGACTGCACAAATGAAGAGTGGAAGAGCTTTGTCATTGGGACCATGTTCCAAGCAGAACCTTGCTGAGTTATTTACACATTATGCTCCAAAACAGGCAATGCAGGGTTCAAAAGAAGGAAATGAACCAAGGGAATTCCATCTCATCTAGGATCCTGAACAGAAATGAATGTGTACTGGAGACCAGGGGGAACAAAGCAAAACCTCCAGATGTAACTAGGCAAGGTATTAGGCAAGTCTCAAGTGAATTTATTGTCTACCTATCTAAGATCAATTTAATTCACTGTTCAATTAAAAGTTCCTTGGTAGATTGCTTACACTCACATAAGGCTCATTTCAGGAGTGTGTGTGAATAACTAATGAAGCAAGAGTTGAATACAAAAAGTAATCTCTCTACCAAAATGTATCACCTCCACAAAACCATAAAACCAGTTCTTCCTTTCTGGCTACTTCATGGCAAATGGGTCTCCAGTTCCATCAGTTTCTGGAATCTATGGCTTTCAACAGCTAACAGCTGTTTCTGGCTCGTTTGTGCTTTTCTAGCTATGTACAAATCTGACTAGTCCTCCATAATCCATATCTTCATGGAAAACAATTAACAGTTATTTGGAAATAAGCAATTATTAATGTTAGAGATGGCACAACAATCCTCAGAGTTTGAGGACTGAAGATCAGGTAACCTGGATCTTCTGGTACACTAGGCTCATTCAAATACAGCCAAATGCATTTAGGAATTAACGAGGCTCATCCTTGAAGTCAGGTTTAGAAAAAAACCACAGAAATGGCTTAGAGCCTGGGCAAAGCATCTTGCTATCATAACTCTGCATAATGAGTTAAGATGCATGACATAATAATGCGCATAGCCTAAAGCTCAAACTTCTTTGTAGATGCTGCCCATTCAGATTTTAAACAGCTATGGCATAATTTTAGAAAGATTAAAGGCTTTGCCAAAACTGTTATTTCCTGAATTAGAATCCTCACCAAGTTTTAATGCGCTTCTTTTAAACAATTCATGTCTTGGTTAATTTATGTTACCGATTCTTACTGTTTCTCTGTGGGTAAACCTTCTGTACTAAATTATTCAACCTACATTTAAAAATTAAAGAATATCAAAGATGGTATGATCATGGCACACAACTAGCTTGGGGCAAAAAGTGAAAAATACTGAAAGGGTCTCAAGTATAGTGAAAAGAAAGATAAAGAAAAGTAACATCTGAAAGTTTAATTCACTATATTCACATTAGAAACAAGACACCGGTTCAAGCAAGGGTTTAATCACTGGAACAGATCCCTATAAGGAAAAGTGAATTCTCCATCTTCTGAATATATCAGTTCTAAGCTGGATATCTAATAAAAAAGTTCCAAGAGTCAAATGAATCACAGAAACAAAGAAGTAGAGGACAACAGAGACATGCTGCTGTCCTCTGCTAAGGGAAGTGTGCCACAGAACTCCCTCCATAATTTTTCTGGGCTCCAGAACAGAATAACTGAATTTAAATACATGGATGGTATTTAACAAGGAGTCAGACTAGGGGTTTTCTTATGGTCTATCATTCTACAAAAGTAACTCTTTCACCCCCATCTTCAGTACAATAGACATGGCAGAAGAGATGAAGTCTGAGCCACGCTCTCAGTCTGTGTAATTACATTCTGTCATTACTTTAACAATGAAAACAGAGACTATAAATTAGCCCGCAGGGTGAAAAAAACAGTTTTCAATTAGGTAAAAAGTCATTTACAGTGGTGTCAGGAATTTTGATTTTAAAAATGTAAGCTGCAGTACAAGACTCCAACACGTTGCATTCTATTATCTGACAATAACAGAATGATTCTATTATTGTCAGCTGCTGTATGGACACTGCAGTACAATACTAGCTTTGTTGAAGCCCAAGAGCTGTGGTAGAACAATACTAAACAAATTCCCATTAAAGGAAAACGGGGATTCCAAATGTTTTCTTCATCTGAAAATTGCAACAAAAATAAAAATTAATTTTATTCCACAATGGTTGTATTGCCACTAACTAGCAAAATTCTATCCCAAAGTCAAAGAATTTAAAATAAAACACAAAGAAACACAGTTTCAATTTTTTTAGCTTGACAGTGTGTATGTATTCATTGAAGTCTAAATCTTGACATATTTCTCTATCATAAATTAAATTCAGTAATTTTTTTAAGTCATAATTTCTGTAGCCAAGTAGCATCCTTCTATGGTCGAGGATACTGTGGCAAACAGGAAGCTCAGACTCAAATGCCGTATTTGAGATTTTAAAGGAATAGTACCAAAGTTTTCAGAAGTTTAAAAGCTGGCTTAAAAAAGAGTATTGATTGAGGTTTTCTTGACTATCCACTGTTGTCATAACATTATGATTTTTATTACTGAAGAAAAAATCCCGTAGCATAAGCTTACTTTGCACAGTTGACTGAACTGCACAGAAAAATAAGGCATATACAGTTTTAAAATATACAGCTGTAAAATGCCTCTATATTTCACATACATATATGTGTGTGTTTTTCAAAATACGTTTCAAAATAATTGGCTTGCATAGCTGTAAAGTACAAAAATTGAGAGAGAAATTAAGGACCTGAAATGTTCTTTCGATTTCAAATCCCAATATTATCTTTAGTTCCTCTTTTGAATCTGTCAGATCATCTGTGTACCATTTAGGGCCAAGAGCATTTACAAAAATTCCAAGATGGACCCAGGTTTTGTATGGGAGTTCTTTTCTCTCTTGTTCACTATTTCAAAGTATTTTTCAACTACGGGATGACACACTAATTGCAGAAGCTGAAAATTGCCTCTCAGTTCATGATTTACCATTAGTAACCCTAAAAGAACTATCTGCCTTTCCCTTAGTACCTCTAAGTGATTTTAACCCAGCTGATACCATTAGCAAGCACTGTATTTCCTTCTGGTCAAGAAAGAGTTCTCTACTCTTCTCTCATTCACCAGGGTAAATTAAACAGGTCAAAGCTGTACAAGCTTTTCAAACCCCCCCCCCACAGGAATACCACTTCTCTTCCCACATACTCACCCCATTAATATCACAAGTGCCTTCTAATTTTCAATCTGATCACAATGCTCACCTGAAATGTTATATTAATCTCTGAAGTGGTATCTACTGCTCAACTTTGAACTAGGATGAAAAACAATTGCTGACTGTGAACAAAAAGGTTGCTACAGTTCAAGAATTATAAACCCTAATATATATTATTCAGTCGCCAAAAAAATAAGTTTTAAATAATAATCAGCTATTCGAGGGCTATTTGGTTGAGTGATTGAATGAATTTACCCTAGTTTCATTCATCCAAGAGTAGGCCTGGAATCAATAATCCATTCTTGTTAGGTTGGCTCTTCTTCCAGCTCAACACCTTCTCAGTTGCATGACTGACAGATAGTTTCACTGTTTTAGTAAAAGCCTCACAGGCTCACGATAAGGATCTCTAGGACCAACTGTTTTTCCTGCCAGAAAACAGTAATGAGCTCTTATTTCACACCACTCTGGGTGAAAAATGACACCAGTAAAGTCTAAAAAATTGTATCAAGTGTACAACCCTGCCTTTTGTTAAAACGCTGCCTTCCAGAGAACTCCAATCTTATCAAGAAAAGGGAACACATGTTTGCATTCTCTAACTAGCATTTACTTTGAAAAAGTGACAGTCTCAATTGTATTTAAAATGTTGCAATGCACTTTCTAACGGCGCGAGTAGCACTTTGGTGTCCACAGAAATATTTACTTGGCATCTTTTCACTGTTTTAATAATAGGTGAAGCCAAAGACATTTCATACTCATACCAAAAGCAAAAGTAGAGCATGCCAAAAATCATCTAAACTGTATGTTATATCTCAGCTCACACTGCAGGGCTCTCTTGAACATGCCTATACCCCTATAATAAACACTCCACCTCATGTGAGCCATGACATGCATGCTGAGTTTTGGCTATATTATACAACTTTTTCCCCAGTCCTCCTACTCCCTTCCAGTCTCTCGTAAAGGAATAAAGAAAATGCCTTAATTCAATGAAGTGGCTGAGACTGGGGAACAGATCTCATTTGTGATTTACAGAAAAGATACAGAAGCCGTTAGAGAAAAAGATGCTAGGGTGTCCCCTTTACATAGCAGACTCGGTTCATTCTGTGGAACACAAGAAAGGGGGGAAAATAGATACTACCTCAGCTTGTAAGAAAGTAAGCTTGACGAACTCTCTGAGTGTTCATCTTCAAAGCACTCTTCCCTTCCTTCATATGTAAACTGGTTATATGGCAAATACAGAGGTGTAGACTTGGCTGATGGAGACTGTGAGGCCTCCGTCTGTGATGTGGAAGGACCTGGTTGCTGGTTTTCATGCATTTTCACATCGCTGTGGTCTGTCACTTTGGATAAGATCCTATCGATGGTTTTGTAGTAAGGCCAGTCAGGTGCAACAGTTTCACTGTCAGTCATGCATTTTAATTTCCTGTAAGAAAAGGCGTACAACATTAAAGCTTGTTTTCTTATGAAGGTACTTTTCTTACAGATCTTCTGTCTCAAAACATTTGTTCTGGTCACATTTAGGAGTTAAACTGTATACTTTCCATGAGAACAAAATCAGACACTTTTTTCTTTTAATCTCCAATGACGCCTTTCAGTTTCTCTTCCTAGTTTTGCCCTGTGACTAAAAGTTGCATGTAAACCCCAAATGAAATTCAATACAAATAAAGATCATTACAGCTTATAATGGAAAGTGTACTTTTGGTTGTAGAATATTTTTTCTTCCCCTTACAGAGTGCCAGACTAATCAATCTGACAGCAGTCCCTGACAACTAGAGTAGGCAACACATCACAGCCTTATCCAAACTCTGGGCAACCCTGTCCTTCCATGCTTTCAAGAATAAATATTACTTTTCCATGATGAATACGAGTGACTATAAGTATAATCCATATCCTTTTCCTAATACTGCCTAAAAGCTCTGGATTGCCTAGGTAAACATCCCAATAACAACCATGAGATGGTGGATGTCTGTTCATCTGTTACAGAATAATGATCAGCGTAGGAAGAAGTATAGAATTTAATTAATTTACAGAAATAACCCTAACAAAACCAGTTAATATTGCATTATAAACAGCATGCACAAAACAATTACAATGACAGCGAAAGGAGTATCGACCATGAACTTGTCTTTCACATGCATCTTAGTATGAGATCTATTAATCACTCCTAACCCAATGTTCACTTCTATACCACTCAGTGCCCACTCTTCTTTTATTTATTTTTACTGAGTAATATAAAACTGAGGTATACAAATGAATTGTACATCTCAAGTAAACTCCAGTGCCCAGCTAAAGTCCCAAACTTTCTTTCTATTTCCCTTTCCCAGCTTGGATCTTGCTACTCTAAATCAAGATGCAGCAAGGTTACACGACAGGAAAGGCAAGACCAGTGACAAATGCTCCATTTTCATAAACCAGATTTAATTTAAATTAACAAAAAGCTGAACCAAATCTAATTGTCGCAACTTTCCACATGCAGAAAAAAGGATAAAAACTATTCCTGGACACCTGGCCCACCCCCTTTTCTTGAAGCCTTTCAGGTTTTTCATCCTCAGAATCCATCCTGCCCACACCGGTCCTGCAAAGGATAGAATTAAATAACATGTAAACACGATAAAAATGGTGCCAAACTTAAAAGTGAGAACTTCAAGTTCTTCCTTTTAGACAGCGTTTAGCCTAGGGTAAGGGGAAATCCACCAGTGAGTGAAAAAAGCAGTAAGATTTGCTTAGATTTTAAAGCCATTTAAGGATTCTTTTCTCCTTGTTCTTGCAAGGTCTGGTGAGCTTTTCCAGCTACTTAGAAATGCACATCACAGACCTGCACAGCAAAGCCTCCTCAGCCATCCAGATTTTTATGCCCTCTATGCATTCAAAATTTTAATTTCATACATGTTTGCAACCTACTGCTGCGACTTCATAGTCAGAGAATATTTAGCACAACCTACAAATACCCGTGTATCCATCCAGCACAGAAACAAAACAGCTAAATACAAGGCTGACAGCAACCATCATTTGATATTGATTATTTTTAGTTCAATTATTTAGGCTATTTGCATGAAAAGCGTATCAATTAAACCATTATAAGCTACTAGCCAAGTCCATGTTCCACATTTGTTTGCCCATCTTGAAACAAATGCATTCAAGCAATGGGGTTTAAAACATTACTACCCTCAACTGCTAGTTTCAACACATTCACCATGGTTGGTCATCTCCATGGGCCAGACAGCGAAAAGCCATGTGTGCGCACATCTCAGCCATGCCATGATTTGGTGGTAGATGCCCCAATCTCGAAACATTCGAAGTCAAGTTGGATGGGGCTCTTAGCAGCCTGACCTAGTAGACGATGTCCCTGCCCATGGCATGAGGGTTGGACTATGTGACCTTTTTTAAAGGTTCCTGCCAGCCCAAACCATTCTATGTTTCCATGAAGTTTTCAGGAGCAGGTATTTTGCCTGAGCAAGTCAGTACTGTGGTTTCTGTGTTTGAACTCAGCTGTGTACCCCAGATCCCATTTCTTTACAAAACTATCCTGATTTTGAAGGAATAGTTGTTATTTATCATCAGCCCACACAGCTGTAGAATTGCAGCTATATAAAACCAGGTATTTCTCTGCCTCTGAATACATTGAATGAATACTAATTCTTCCACTTCTGACTGTTTACCATAGCTCTGGGCTAAAAAAGGGGATCACTACCAGGAGGTAGGCAAGACGGTTTTGTTAGCTTAAAAGCAGCACCAGAAGCAACAATCTACCTGTATAGTGTCTGGCTCATACATAAAGAAAAAAGGATGAAATAGATGGAGAGATGTGAAGATAAGGGGGGAGGGAGTGCCAGTCCTTTGGAAAAGAATTAGGAACACTGCAGGTGGAGGAAAAGAGGAAGAACATTCACCGCAATAGTGGTGACGGTTTAGCCTTCTGGTAAAAAGAAGCCTGGAGAAGAGAAGGCTGCATGGAGATCTCATAGCAGACTTCCAGTACCTGAAGGGGGCCTATAGGGATGCTGGGGAGGGACTCTTCATTAGAGACTGTAGTGATAGGACAAGGGGTAATGGGTTCAAACTTTAACAGGGGAAGTTTAGATTGGATATAAGGAGGAAGTTCTTTACTGTAAGAGTGGTGAGGCACTGGAATGGGTTGCCCAGGGAGGTTGTGAATGCTCCATCCCTAGCGGTGTTCAAGGCCAGGTTGGACGAAGCCTTGGGTGGCATGGTTTAGTGTGAGGTGTCCCTGCCCATGGTAGGGGGGTGGAACTAGACGATCTTAAGGTCCTCTCCAACCCTAACTATTCTATGATTCAGAAAACAAAGCAAATGGCTAACTTTGTAATATTAATATCAATGTCATAACTGATCATAGCAGGTCTTAGTTGCATTCACAGTGTAAAGTTGGGGGTTTTGTTTGTTTTGATTGTCTGTGTTTTGGTCTGTTTTAATGAAAAATAAAGACCTTAAAAAGAAACAGGACAATGGGATGCAACAGTCCGGAAACGAGAAAGGAAGATGAGCCGAACATTCAACACTTTGAAATTGGGCAAATTGCTGCCTGTGTGAGCAAGCCAGGCAGAAAGATTAGGTAGGAGACAGCAGCAACTGAGAAAGTCAGCAGAGCTCACAAACTAAATCCACACTGAGTTTATCTAGACCTGTTGCTGTTTCATGAGGCTCTATAAAAAACCAGCTGAGAGCAGAGGCAACTGAGAACTCCCTCCCAAAACTCAAGGATCAAAGTCAAATTGCCAGGGGACAAATATCTGAAGCATGAAAAACAGTCAACCCAGGTAATCTGAAAGGTGGATACTTTTCTTATTGCAGGGAAGTGAATGAATTTATGGGCTTTGAGATCCTGCTGCCAAAACGCACCACTGAATGGACTGAGACAACAGTTGAGTAATTCCTGCTGCCACTGACCTTTCTTCAGACTTTGTTCTATGTCTATTAATCCACCATCTAAAATAAGTTTATGACGATATTATGTTCTAAAGTATTTTTTAAATCACCACTATTTAGTCAGTAAAAGCACACAATCTCTAACATGCCACCTTTTTTTAGGCTTTGCTCAAACCAGTATTGCTTTTTTATTATTATTACGGTGTTTGATATTACTACTTGCCTTAAGGAATGGATACAAGATCCATCTCCTGGGGTTTCTGAAAAAAGCTTTCAAAATAAATAATAAATAGCGACTGTTTGTGAACCAATCAATGGTGAGGAAAAGAAAGATGTATTAAAGTACAGTCCTAAATTGTGCATCTGCTAGAAATTATTGAAATTAAAGAGGAAGATAGTAGAATATTCAAATTCAACTTTCTGCAGTAACTTGGCTGTGCTTATATTTTATCACTTGCTGTAACAGAGGTCAAATATTCCACTTGTTTAATGTCACAGTAGAGCAACCGATTACACAAGCAGCAACATTTAATTGCTATCATGTACACATGAAAATAAAAAATTAGACTAATCTTTTATTCAAATCATGAGACTGATTCAAATTTACCAATCATTAACATTAATTGACTGTGATTCAAATCAAAAAGCAACAGCTGCATCCTGATTTCGAGGCTTTGGGGAGGGTGATGGTTTTGAAAGTAATAAATTCACGTTCACACAGTTCTTATTTTTAAACATCAGAAGGAGTCAGTCAAAACTGTGGCCCCCTGTGCAGGCTTTACAAACCCTTTTCCTTTCTATAAACCAGTGTGCATTATGTCAGTGGAAAAACAACAGATACAGTGCACTGTTACACACTGAGATCAGCATATTAGCTGTGACAGGACAGCTTCCTTCAGAAGGACTAATTACAGGTCCATATGTGCTGAATGCCCCAAGTAGCCTACATAATAGCAAGAATTCAGCACATACTCTTAAGTAATGCTAAACTGCAAGAGCTGGCTTGCTAATCTCAGCAAAACTTTTGATGACCAGCACATCAGAAAGCTTAACTTTGAATTCCAGCAGGAATTGACTCAGCCCTTCCTCCTTCCAAGGTGGATAAATAGGGAGGTTCACACAGCTCGCTACACAGATGTCTATAAAACCGAACGTTAAAATCCTGGTGGCTGACCTTTCCACAGCAGATATTTTGGATATCACAGCAATTCTTAAAAGCAGAATTTTCTTCAAATGCACCTGCAAAAAAGTTTTCCTTCCACCTATGGTGCTGTGCAGAATTTTCCACCCAGGCACACTTCCATGGTGGATGAAATGGTTCTTTAATACACTGAGACTCCAGTAAAAATTATTTCAGGTTGTGGTATATTTTTCCCTGAGTAGTTTCCTCCAAGTGCACCTGGACTACAGTAATGCAGAGGAATAAAGGAATTGCTCCCAGGTCAGCCCATTGTCCTGCTGCCTCACCTCTGACAAGGGTCAGTGCTAAATACTTCAATCATTTTGATGGACAGGTTTTGGGGGCACATTTGCCTGTAAAGACACTTGAATACTTTTCCATCGACAGCCAATAATATCCTGAAACTCGTTGTCTTTTATAACTCTCTCTAATCTGAAGACAAACAGCATCTGTATTTTAGTTTAATAAACCTGATCTTTAGTAAAAATAATAATAAAACAACCTACCACTCTCTTGGTGTCAATGATTTTCAGTGGTAATGAGTTCCATGTGCTTATTATGTGGTGTTATACACATTTATATGATTAACTATTTTATATGACTAACTTCTTGCCTTGCAATTCAAATAAATAACTTCTTGTATTACAGTAGAAGAAATACCTGCTCTATACTCTGAAAACAGTACTGTATATTTTTTACGCACCTCCAGAACTCCTTTATATTTCTTTACCTTCTTTCCAAGTGAGTCACAAACTTTTCCATTTCTCTTAATAAAGAAAGCTTTCCACATCTCAGCCTAATTGTGTTTTCTAAACATCTTCTCATTCTCCTGTCACCTTGTTGAAATATAGGGCAGTCAGAAATAAACACAAGAATTCAAGACAGAAATAATGCCATAGAATAGATTTCTACAATGGCATTTTAACATCCAAGTAATGTTTTTACCTCTGATGTAGAGGAATGGGATGTGATCACCCTAGAATTGCTTTGTGACAGATGCTCACACACACCAAACTACACCTGAACTAACTTTATCTGGCAGCACAACATTACACATAGGATCCAAACACACCCAGACACAGTGTGAATACTTGGGCTGTGAGCCCATACTGAGCTCTGAGCCACCATAAGCATGCCCGTAGTTGCATTAGCTCCAGCAACTGCACTGATTAATTACTGGCTAAGATACACTCCTCCTTACACCTATGAATGTTTGTCTGACTTTTCTGGACAATGAGTAATGGCTTTTCCTGAGCAACATAAGCAAAACAGTAACTTATAGAGCTTTATCTTAAAATGCTCTGGGATCCTCAAACTGGAAAACACCATTATAAATGTGTTCACTGCTTTCTACTTTAGATCCTTTAATGTTTCAGATCATTAGCATCTGTTTCAAGAGATGTCCCAAGATAAGACATGCCAGTGATAACACTTTTAACACTGAATGGGCTAGTAGAAATATTCAATTACTGCTTTTCCTTGTATAAAAAGAAATATAAATGTATGTACATATGCTTATACATATATATAGCAATTTCTGGGCCAGCAATTTCATTTTTCTTTATAAAATTGTGGCACATAGCTAAATAATAATAGGATCTTATTAAATATTCTAATTCATTTCATTTAGGGTTATTAAAGTAAGATTAGACATCATAGCAGCTTTGCAACGCTGTGAAGAGTTGCCTAAGAAAGTAAAGGACCCTGAAGTGGTGGGAAGAAATAACCCCTCGGTGCAGAACAACCTCCTCATTCCTGCTACTGGCACTAACATTCTCCCAGGTCATGCTTACAAGCCCTATGTAATCACTACAAAGTATCTCAAAATAGAGCATTCCCCACTCTCAGGATCTTCCTTTTTCAGTTTATATCACAGTGCAGCAATGAAGCCCAGAAATACAGTGAGGTAAAGCATCTTCCTCAAGTATCCTGCAGGCACGAAAACATGGATTAAAACTCAGCTGCCTCACAGCAAAGCCAGCACTCGGTGGCAACTCACATCATTTCCAGTTTCATCACAACGTTTCCTAGCCTCACACACCAACAAAAAGTGCCCAGAAAATGAGAAATCATAAGCCATAGCTTTTGTTCTTCACTGTTCTCTCTCCCACCTCACCTTGAAAGCAAAGCACACAGGCGTGTTTTGGATAAGAACAAACAATAAGAAAGATGCATTTCATATTCAAGATTACAAAATGAAACAGCACCGTGACAGTGCACGGCAGTTTCCTAACTCTCCTAAATTAGCATCTGAATCAATAAGGAGGGAGCTGCAATGCACTGCAAAATAGAAAAGCAGCATGACAACATGCCACAGAAGCAATCTTAGAAGTTCACAGAAACATAAGAAGGATTAAAAACAAAAAGTGCTGTTTACACACATACACACACAGAGTGCATGGGAGTGATTTTGTTTCCTCCCTTCCTCCAATGCAACTTTAAAGTATATTAATTAGAAGAGCTAAGATGGTCTGACTGATGACAACGCTGAAAATTTAGAACAAAGCCAGACAGAAATAGCCTGTTCCACTTGGCAATTACAGCACTTAAATATCATGCAGTATTGCTAGACACCTGTAAAACCTCGGTGCTGTGAAATACATTTCCCATCAGGGAGGACAGCAGATTTAGCAGACTAAGCAAAGGCCTGGTAACCAGCAACTCCCGACTTCTAAATCTGCATCTGAGTCTGAATTTCTGGGTGATGCTGGGCAAAAATTCATCTTACTTCCAGCTGTCTCCTCTACAATCTGGGTGAAGAAAATTGCAAAGGATTACAGCAGGGTCAGTGAAATATTTCGGAGACATTACCATTTGCTGCAAAACATCAAGTTTAATATTATGGGAAATGACGTTAACGATTATGCTTGCGGATCATACAAATGCAGAAGGAGGACATTCAAAGTTAAGGGGTTTACAGGATTTTCCCTAGTTTTCTATTTGATGAGTAGTCTCTGCATTAAATACAGCAAGGGTGCCTTACAGAAAAGCGAGCAGTTTTAACATGGTTGCCTGCTGTAATAACCTTTTTTATTATTAATACAAGCTTTGAGGAGAGATTAAATGAAAGAGTCACATATTTGATTTTCCTGCATTACAAGCACACAGCTGAAATCACCACTCAGGATTTCCAGTGTGAGGCAGTTTGTGCCTCACAGAGATAAGAATTCAAGAAAAAAAAAAGGGGGGGGGGGGAAGATATGCAAATATTTCTGTTAAGTTCTAATTATCTTGCCCCCCTGCAAACAACAAATGCACAACTGCCTCGCGTTTTCTAAAGCCAACTTCTCCTCCTGACTAACACTGCCTGTTCTTTATCATCCCCTTGTAGACACCTCCGCCCTCCCCCCGGCTCCTTTGGAGCAGTATTGACAGTGCACATTGATTCTCTCTCTGCAGATATAATAGTTCTTTCACTGCTGCTGCTGCTGCTTATAATTATAGCAATATGTGTCACTCAGTAATAAGACGTTCAATTATTCTTGGCCCCGTGAAGCACAACCCTTCAACTCACAAGACCAAAACCCAGGCGCTTCAGCCCCCCCCCCAAAAGCATGATTTTCTTTGCAGTTATTTTTTTAAACTTTGCCTTGCATTCCCGATTCTCACTGGCCACTTCAAACTGCAGGAGTTTCACTGCAAGGAACTGCTGCCAGGCTACCACCACCAGTCCCCTCAGCAAAGAGAAAAAAACCATAAAGCTCTTCCCCCACTAAATGCATTTCCATCCCTCTGCATCATTACAACGGTAGCTGATTATAAAGAAACAAAGTTGTCCCGGAGTTTGACATGAAATGGGGGAAAAAAATTAACAATGACGTAACAGCAGTGGCAAGAGAGAATTTTAAAAGCGATATGAACAATCTTTAATCTTTTATCGACAGATTTCCTCTAGGAGACTTCTTTCTGAAAGGCAAAAATCACTGCGTTGTCCCTGCTAAAATCTCTTAAAATAAAAAGAATTAACTGAAGCTTACCTGTACTGGAATGTCATATTTGTAATTTTTATCTTTATTTCCTCTCCGTGGCGAATTTCTCCAGTCATTTCAAAGAGTTTGTTAGCCATTTTCTCATAAACTTTGGCATTCCTTTTAGTTTGTTTCAGCTCATCAAAAAATTCTTCCCAAACCAGCATTAAACCTCTCATTTCTGCATCAGTCCAGTTTCTGGCCCTCCTGTGTTTCTCAGTCTGAGAAGAGACAATGTAACTGGGAATTTCTGCTGCAGCCATTGCTGACTGACCTAAAAGGGTTTTAAAAGAGGACACTTAATATAGATTGAGTTTTTAGTTTAGGTTTTTTGTAGTGCAAGACATGCATATGTGGATAAAGAATTTGAATGACAACAGAACATATGAAACCTTTTTGCAACAGCTTGAAGCTTGAGTGCACAAAATGGGGCCTACATCTGACAGGCAGGAATTTAGTTAAAAGCTTTTAAACAGAGAAACGTCATTTTGATGTCACGTTTCCATAGCAACAGAGCAACTGCATAAGCTACAACAACAAAAACCTTTTAACTGAAAGCCAAAGAATCAGGACAAAGTTGACAGGCCATCAATATTAAAGCTTTTAAACACTTTAGGTTTAACAAAAAAAAAAAAAAAAAAAAAAAGATCTATGCAGCCTTTGAGAAGCTACTTTTAAGTTTCTACTTCTTTTTTAGCTTTCCCTTACCTTTTAGGCAGACAATCTGCTAGCAGGGGGTCATGGTCGCCTGAACGAGCTTTTAAGTTGCGCCTTGACAGACTCTCTAGGAGGTTGCAAGGACTAAGACCATGTACACAAAAAAAAAGCCTTTTTTTTTTAGCAAAGATATGCTGCAAAAAGAATCAGCCAGCTTTCGGAAAACTATACATCTCTAAGCTAATAAATGTTTAAGCAGGCAGGCTCATTAAAAAGGAGCCTGCATCTGGGTTTAACACCACGCAGAAAATAGCATTTAAGTGTTTAAATATAGAGAGAAACGTATATACAGTTTCAATATAGAGCCACTTTTTTTTTTTATCCCCGAGATGTTTTGCTGCTGATAAGCACACACTGCAGTCCTGTCAGTATGAATTTGCCTTTGTAGGTATGTATTACTGTATGTGTATTTGGTATTCCTAGTAATTTAGATGCTATTTATGCAGCCTGTGTTCTGCCTTAGGACTGCAGCAGAAGCATTTCACCTGCTTTATGGGGAACCTAAAAGGATTATTCAATGAGTTAAAAAAAAGGCTGTGAGATGCTTAGAACTGTGAATAAATTGCTCTGCCATAAAACAAGCATTTTGAGCTGGTTTCTGTATAGGGCTAAATTCTGCCAGCAGTTATACAGAGAAGCACCACTATACTCAACGCATTAAACATTGTGCAACACAAGCAGTGGGCCACATTCTGCCCCTGCTCACACTCCTGCAATCTGGCAATAACCTTTCACAAAAGAGAGAGATGCACGAACTGCATTGATTCAAGCCGTACTGCCAGCTGAAGAGAAAGATGTTAATTTCCTACAGCCCCAGTGCAACCGTGTTATGTAAAATATAAATAAATAAACCACGGACCTTTCTTATTATCATTTTCTGTTTCAGCATATACCAGCAATAACGACCTCACTGCAGGGCATTTCCTGAAGATTAATGACAGGCAGGGGTTAATGGCCTGAGGCTCACCCAGTCAGTCGTTAATCCCCAGGAAATGTTCTGTGCCTCAATCCTTAATGCTTAAGTATCCTATAAATTGTAAGTCTTCTCATAACCACATCCTCGATCTTAACAATAGTTTAAAAATGCACGGCTTGGTTTGCATCCTGGAGTAGGCAAAGAGAACACGTAATGTTCCTAAAAGGTACACTAGTAAAACCTGCAGTATCGTTGCCTTCTTTCTAATTTATTTATTCTATTGTGCATTACAAAAGGCACAACAGCATACCATAGAACACGGAGGGGAAATCACATATACTGTACATAGGAACTTCCACTGATCATGCCTCTGGAGTGTGTCTCTGTCAGAAACGTACCTGCTGAGTCACTGCCTTCCTTAAAACAGGGAAAATAAATCCCCTAGCTTCCAAATAACTACTTTTAACTACTAATATGACAGCCTAGCAACTATTACCTTTAAAAATGTGCAAATAGCAGCATCTGTTGTGATGATGATCTTGCATGGTTTGTTTCTTGGGTGGCCAGCTGGAGATACCACATGATCAGGGGACAGATGGTGGTCAGAAGAGGATCAGCTGGTGACACATTCATTTTATTAATTTATTGTTTCGTTTTGCAATTCCCATCACTTAACCTCAGGCTCCAGGCAGTTAGGTTAATACTACAGTAACAAACTCACAGCCAGAGGCTGGGGATCACCAGGATGAGTCTAAGGAAGCAATGGAGTGTGCAAGAGGAAGATAGCACCAGTCTCCTGTTACAGCGCTGGGTCTGACTTGGGACCAGTGCAAGCCACTGCAAAGCCAAGCTTCCTTTTCAGCCATTAATCAGAAACTAGAGATTTGTTTCCACCTCCCAGACTTTAATCCACCTAGGTTCTGAATGCTGATTAACACCGCAGAAACCTATAGTGTGAGAGACACCCATTGTAAAAAACCAAAGATATGTATGGTCTCTGCTTTAAAGATCTTTTTAATCTGGTTTCAAGCACAACAACCAGGACAGGGTGGGGGAGAACCTGTCCAGCTGCAACAAGCTCTTTCTGTGATGGTCCACAGCCATTCCTTCCCCTTTTCATCCACATGTGCCTGGCATATACACGGTTGCTCCTTGTGCTCCACACCATCTGCTGGGGCCTTCCCTGGCCCTCGGCCCCAGACTGGGATCTTGCAGAAGGGGGGGGGGGGTGTTTCCCTGTACAGTTCACATCTCAACTTCTCTGTATGCTGTTTCCTATTAGCGCAATTGACAGATTGATATAGTGGTATAGTGCTATTTAACATCTGTTAAATAAAAGAAATGCTTTCTAATAATGCTTCCCTTATTCCCCTCGCCTCAGCACCAGAGGGGAATCTAAGCTTCCAGGACTTGGGTTTGATCCCCTCCTCTGAGAAAGTCATTGATATGAATTGTGGAGACTCCGCATGCCTTCTCTGCCTTGCTGAAGCACTTGAGCCAAGTGGTTGATAAAATGACTGTTTTCCTACATGGAGCTGAATGCAAGGAAAACTTTTTTACCCCAAATAATCCCTGAAGTCCTCACCAGTGCCTGGGAATTGCAGAACCACCTCTCCCGGCTGTGCCTCTCTCTGCTGGTGTTCTGCAGATGTGCTCAGTCCCCGGGAGTCATTAACCCTCTGTCCTGGCCCCTGAGGCAGGAGAAACAACTAAGATGGGACCAGCAAACCTTTAGGGGAAGAGAAGCCCTGCAGCAGCGAGAGCCATCCCTCCCCAGGATGGGGCACTGTGAGGAGAAGCTCTGCTAGCACGCAGTTGCATCTTGCCTGGCTCAAGCCAAAGGCCAGCCAAGACTCATCATGTACCTCAGACTGGCTGGTCACCAAACCCAGAATAACTGCTGGCACGACAAGCTGCAACTCTGCCATCCCTCACGCGCTCTACTCTGACGTCTTTGTTGACGCCAGAGTGCTCCAGCATCAACCTCCTTCAGACTGAGGACCAACCTGGCACCGAGTACAAAACAAGCAACTGAAGTTGTAACTGTCCTCATCAATAAAGTAAGGATGTTGCGTCTCTTGGAAAACACCAGAATACATAATGGAGCTTCTGAGGATACCTCTGTCAATGACTTCCCTCTGTAGGAGAAAGCTGATCTCATGCTCACCCCGGTTGCTCCTCTGATGGGCACTGAAATGACAAGTCTAGAAGACATTTTTTATGGACCCTGACCTCAGTGGGATGGAGGATCTCACTCGTGCCCTTCCTTTTAAAGCACACCTGCTTCTAAGAGCTTAGAGGAACATGAATTTAATGATCCTCTCACAGATCTGTTCCTCATATCATGTCTAAACATCCTACCTTTATTTGCAATCAGTATGTACCAGCTTAAAAAATAGCTCTCACAGCTCTTCCACCTTTCATGATGACCTCTACAGATGACAAGCCCCAAACAGGGTAGAAGGGTTTCTCATGTGCAAATGTGGATCTAACAAAGTTCGCCCATAGATGTTTCTATGGCAGAGATCAGACAACTCCATTAATCCTAACTATCTGTTGACTACACTTCGAGTGATCTCTGCTACCCGACTGTGGACAGCCTTCAGCTGTGCAAATGTGGGTTAACGCATGCCAAATAAAACTTCCTTTAGCCGAGTTTTAGGGAAAGGTGTTTTCCCTTGCATTTGCTGTAAGATAACAGCTCTAGTCAGTCAATTACCGGAGCTCAACCCGCAGACTGTGAGCCATTAAACTGTTATTACAGAAGAGCATGTCCGATCCTGTTGATGGGATTGTGGTGGGAGAAGTGAGGCAGCATTTTCTTGGCAAAGCAGGATTTACTCTGTTAGGATTAAAAAAATTTCTGCAGCCTCTCCTAAACGTATGTATCCGCAACCCAAATGGGCAGCTGCCTATAGAGGTGCTGACACACAGGTTGGTACCTGTTTGTATTTCAGAAATGGAAATACATTAGTTTTGGTTCAGGTAAGTCTTGAGACCAATTGGCTTCCTCCCAGTTTTAGCTCTAAATGCACCGAACACCCTTTTAGGCAGCAACTCAGAGCAGGGAAACTGGGAGAAGGTCCCCACTGGAGGGCCATGAGAAGTATGCATCACCCCTCAAAGACACAGGTCCAGCCCTCTAAAACACATGGGTATTTCAGGAGACCATCCAATAATGTCTTGATTACATATAACTCAAAAAATAAAGCTGCGTGCAGCTTTTTGTGTTTGAGGCAGGCTGTTGAAAGCAAGATCGTCCAAAGCACAGGCTTGTCGTGGCTCTTTGCAATACTACCATCTGGCAGTGCAGTTGATACTGTGTTTTAAGTTCAAAAAAGCTATCTGCAGGAGTTGGGGGATTGTCACCTGCCCCACGTTTTGCTGTCTACTGGGCTAAAATGCCCACTTCCTAAAGTCTTACTGAAAATGACGGTTTTAGTGTCTCTGATCACTGCACACTGCAATTTGCAAAGAGAGATAAAGGCAATGAGGTAAGAAATACTCTTCCACTACTTCTGAAAACCTTGACCAGAGGAGATAGGCAGGGACAGGCAGTTACAAAGGAGAAGCTGTCTTCTTTTCTCCTCCATTAAACCAAACGGGTCCGTGGCAGTGAAGCTATTGTGCTCGGGAAAGTG